GCTCACAGAGATCTCCTTCCCATCGGGCCCCACGGGTCTGACCTCGGCCATGTGGTTTGGATCAGCCTTCGTGTACCGCATCTTCACCATGGCCTAGGCCTCTCTGGCGCCTTGACGGTAGGCCGATATCTTCCACAGACGGAAGCGCTGCCATACTCCCTGAAGCTTCTCAGCAAGCCCTCCAAGACCCTCGGGTAGGGATATGGACGGCCATAAGGCCTGAACGATGCTGCTCATCGCCTGTCGAATACGTTCGTGCAGTTGCAGCAGCTCGGAAAGAAGGTCACCCGTGGAACCAGGCATTTCCTCCGCCGGACGACCCGTGAGCACACCTACAGACACATTTTCTGTCAATCGACTTCCTCGCCGAACTCTTCTTTTCAAAAGAGTTTGCTCAAGCACTTACTGTAAATGCCGCGACGAAACCGCCGATTCTCCTTTACGGAGTCAGACAGCTGGACCCGAACATCTTTTAGTTCTTCGCCCAGCTGGGTGTTGGCATCTTGGAGTTTGTTCCTCTACTGCTGCACCCTCATAAGCACCTTCTCGCCGGCCTTCAGCTGGCGCAGCAGATGTTGCTTGTCCGGTTCCAGTCCGGCACCCTCTGCAATATTATTGTCAGATTTACGGACACGCCGCACTTCATAAACTACTTATCTTTTCGAAGTATGTATTACCAGATGGGGTCTCTGTGGCTCCCCCTGCGGCGGCTAGCGCGGCCTCAAGTTGGGCCTGGCACTCTTGAAGCTCCTGGGACAGACAGGTATTCTTCTCCGTAAGATCCTGCATAACAAATGATCCTTAAATCAGTTATTCTAACTATTTTAAGTCTCGAGGGCTACTGGCATATATAACTATTAAAATTCCTCACCCGTATGTCTTTCACATACTGCTTTGTGGCTCTGGTTAGACCATCTCGAGCGGCACGGAGGTGCGCGTCTCCCGCATTAAAGGCATTCAGTGCCTCCGGAGAGAAACACGCGTCACGAAGAACCGTCCGGCGGCGCCTGTGATTCATTGCGCTCTCCACCTCAGACCTGGTGGCGGACAGCCTGTCGGCATCCTCCGTTGGAGGAGCATCCGGCTCATGCCTTGTGTTTGCCTCCCCTTCCGGATCACGCGTTGGAGCATGGCTGGCGGAGGCTTGATTGGCAACCTCTCCGGACACTGTCCGGCGAGCGCTCTTTCTCCTGGAAAAATCATGAGCGTTAACATACCTCCTAGGAATCTTTCCCTTAAAAACGGCGGTGCGCCGTACCGTTGCGGCGATGTTTCGATTCGCACCCCGCACTCCTCTTTCGCCTGTTGGGCCGAACTGACCCTTGTTGGTCAGCCGCCGCGGGTTTGGCTTCCCGCCTTAAAGGCGCCTCCTGCGGAGCACCATTGGTATACGGTGGTCAGAAATGAGCATGGATCAAGTAATGGTGTCAGGACTCCGGTCGTAGTCACCTGGGAAGCCGGAGATAAACCGGGGTAGTCAGCCGTAATGGCGACTAGAGCATTGTCCATACTAAGTGGTGGAACACCCTGTCAATCAGCTCCACCTTTATGTCCGAATCCTCTTCGGAGGCCGGATCAAGGGATCGTCCCGGATCCTCGGGCTGTGGAGTCAGGCTTTGTATGCCCTCCACGTCCCGGCGCAGCTCCTGCGTCAAAATCACAAAGTGAGACACTTGACTTTGGGAATATGGATCGGATAGATAAACGTCCGCTTACCCAGCTCCGAGGGTTATTCATGGAGAATCCATTCAATGGGCTCATGCGGAGGAAGTCCTCCTTCTCCCCCTTGTACAAGCCGGACGGGATCTTCACCAGATCGGCGGCCGATCCCGGCCCCTTGCGGCCATGACGGGTGGCGTCATCCTCCCCGTTAAAATCCCACATGGGGTGGCCCCTATATTGGAGCGGCTACACCCCTCGCATAATGCATGTGGCCATGACTCCAATCATGGTCAATCCGGAGTGGGCCAGTAACCTTATCCGGCCCATCAGATATTGGATGCTCCCATCATCTTCCCGTTGAGGGCTCCGCGGGCGCCAACTCAGGCGTTTCTTCAAGGGAGCGTTGCTGAACTCCGGGAGGCCAATCCGAACTGGATCCGGCAGAGGGGCGTCTTCCATATAAAACCATTCCAAAGGCCAGTCTTCGGACGCCTTCTTCGGGGTTCCGGATAGATATCCGGTCCCGGCGATCCGCCATATTTCAGCTCCGCCCACTTGATATATCGACCCCTCGTGAGAATGGGGTACGAGGCAAAACAATCTCTTCCACAGCGCAAAATGGGGCTCGATGCCCAAGAACAGCTCGCAAAGAGCTACAAAGCCCGCGATGTGCAAAATGGAGGCAGGTGTAAGGTGGTGAAGCTGGAGTCCATAGAACTCCAGGAGCCCCCGGAGAAACGGATGTATGGGAAATCCGAGTCCCCTTATTAGATAAGGGATGAAGCATACCCGCTCTCCTCTGGAGGGATTGGAGACGCTCTCCGCCTGCTTTCCACCCTTGTAGGTGGCCAGTCCGGCTCGAACCGGAACCATGAAGGCCGGGGGAAGATATCCCTCTGCTTGGAGCGTCACTAGCTCGCTATGCGGAACTGAACATCTCCTCCAATCTCCTGGCTGAGGGCTAGGAGCGCGAGAGGAGGAGCCGCGTCAACTATCCATGATGGAATGTATTTTTGTCAGAGGCGCTTCGATGAGTACTTGCGGAAGGAGGATGGTGTGATTTGGATCTAGATCCTCGCCTCTCTTATAGGCAGCTCACTCGCACGGCTAGGGGGTAAAACACAAAAATACCCTAGCTTTTCGCATTCGTACGACACGTGGAAGAGGGCCATTATTAGACGTGGAAGCCAAGGAGCGCAACATTTATAAGGAAGCCGGACACTATTCAGCAGGCACATGGGATTTAAAGGAGAACCCGCCTTGCAAGGCCGAAGACAATATGCGCGCCGGACTCGTCGTCATTGAAGCCTGGTTCGGGGGCTACTGAGGGAGTCCTGGACTAGGGGTGTCCGGATAGCCGAACTATCATCATCGGCCGGACTCCAAGACTATGAAGATACAAGATTGAAGACTTCGTCCCGTGTCCAGATGGGACTTTCCTTGGCGTGGAAGGCAAGCTTGGCGATACAGATATGTAGATCTCCTACCATTGTAACTGACTCTGTGTAACCCTAGCCCTCTCCGGTGTCTATATAAACCGGATGGTTTTAGTCCATAGGACGAACAACAATCATACCATAGGCTAGCTTCTAGGGTTTTAGCCTCCTTGATCTCGTGGTAGATCTACTCTTGTAATACCCACATCATCAATATTAATCAAGCAGGACGTAGGGTTTTACCTCCATCAAGAGGGCCCGAACCTGGGTAAAACATCGTGTCCCTTGTCTCTTGTTACCATCCGCCTAGACGCACAGTTCGGGACCCCCTACCCGAGATCCGCCGGTTTTGACACCGACAGTAATTGTCCGGCGAACCCACCGTAAATACCAGCATCCAATTGCTATTACTTGTTTAGTATCAAGGCTTGGGCAAATCGGGATCACTCTGTCTGGACTTAACAAGAAGTGTTCAAGTATAGCCGAACCTGCTCGGTCAATCTGTACTACAGCTGCAATGATTTCTGTCAACCCCAATCGCTTCCACATCTCCTTAGCATTAGTACACATAAATAGAAGATGGGTTATGTCTTCTGCTCCTTGATGGCAGACTGGAGATGCCCCATCCGATCTGACGTGCCTGTTAGTGAGTATCGATCTTAAGGGGATGATTCCATATAGTATCCGCCAACAGAAAATTTGGACTTTACGTGGGATCTGTAGCTTCCAAATTGATCTCCATACTAATGGCCCTGTGGAGCTTCCCGGCTGAAGAGACCTATTTGCATGGCCTCCAAAAATATGTGACCACTGCACATGGTAAGCGCTTCGAACTGAAAAGAATCCTCTCCTATCCGGGTGCCATGCAATGTAATCATCAAAGGCTTGGTAGTGTAGTTGTATCTGTAATATCCTGTGAACATCCACTGGGTTGAAACATTGCCTTAAGAGCTCTTCGTCCCACATCCCATTATTTGGGTCAATGAGTTCATTGACCATTGTTATTAAGGTGTGTCCTCTCGGGCTAATAATTCTCCTATCCGGACTAGACGGAATCCATGGATTAGACCAAATATGAATATTCTCACCTGTACCAATCCGTCAAATGTATCCACGTTTGTACACCTCAAGCCCTTTCATTATACTTTGCCACGTAAATGATGATCCATTCTTCAAAGTAGCTTCAAGGAGACTAGTATTAGGGTAATATTTCACTTTCGGAACTCTCGCACATAGCGAATTTGGGACCGTGATTAATCTCCAAGATTGTTTAGCTAGCATAGCATGGTTGAAGCGGTATAGATCCCTGAATCCCATACCTCCTTCACTCTTGGGATAACAAAGTTTCCACGGTGAAAACCAATGCATCTTTCTGTTTTCTTCATCATCTCCCCACCAGAACTGTGCAATAATATCAATAATCTCTTTGCAAATTCCTTTTGGTAGGGAAAAGACTGAGATAGCAAAGACAGAGATAGCTTGGGCTACTGCTTTTAACAGAATTTCTTTACCTTCTGTTGACAATTGTTTCTCCATCCATCCAATTAGCCTCTGTTTAATTCTCTCATAGAAGTGTTTAAAACAGTCACTTCTGTCTGCACCCACCATTGCAGGGAGTCCGAGATACTTGTTAGATAGTGCCTCAGTGTGTTTATACCGTGTTAAAAAATTGAATTCCATTATTTTTATAGTCAATCCAGGCCTTGCCATGTTGAGCCGACCCACAGGGTCAGGTTTGCCTAAATTGTCCGGTCGCCTGGTCCGAACATTTGAGGTTTGAGCTCAATTTGATGATTCGCGTTTTGAGTTGCCTCCCTACAGCTGCGGGTTCGGGTAATCATCTCCATCCAACCGCAGACGCCCTCCAAACCCCTCATCTAACACAGCCTGAATCCTGATGCGATGGCCTTAGCCACCGCCGCCGCCCCGCCGGCGATAACAGCGGCCACCTCGACGTCGTTCCCGTCTCTCCTCCAACACCACTCACCCGGCAGCCGCCGAACGGTCACAGCCCTGGCCTTCGCGCGGCGCTTCCGCAGCAAAAACCCTAGCCCCTTCCGCTCCGGCAGCAAGGCCGCCGCCCCGGCCCCGGCCCTCGCCCCCGCCCCCGAAGACGACTTCGGCGGCCTCGAGGGGGAGCTCTGGCGCCTCCGCCGCCGCGCGGAGCTGCGCTTCCAGCGCCTCGCCGCGGAGGCCGACGAGGCCTACAGCGACCTCCGCTCCTGCGTCCGCGTCGTCGGCGGGGACCGCTTGGTCCTGACCTTCCGCCGCTCGTCGCTGCGCTTCGCCGCATTCGCCCTTCTCTGGTCCCTCGCTCTCTCCGCCGCAGCCTGGGCGTCGCTGGGGCTGGCCTTGCGGGCTTGGCGCCAGCTATGGGGGCGGGGCTGGTGGGAACGACCGGAAGGCGCAGCTGTGGTAACGAAGAGGGACCGGAGCATGGGTGGGAAGGAGGTGGTGGTGGCTGTATCGTCTCCTGTGCTGCCTCCGGTCAGCCACGTCAAGGAGCCCGCAAGGAAGGTCAAGAGGAAGGAACCACAGGGAAGGCTCCCGGAGTGGTGGCCTGAGATAGAAGCCGAGTTGGTGGAACTGGGCCAAGAAGCGGAGAAGTGGGCGATATTGGCCAATAGATTGGTCCGAGGTGAATGCCTGTATATATCTGAAACTATCTTGTTCTGTTTCTAGTTCAAACATATGAAGTCAATAGGAATGTTGCATGTAATCAGATTGCATATAGAATAAGCATATCAATCAGAAAGTAGGATAATATGAACTTTCTAGGTTCATTTATTCTTGTCCGAACTCAGAAATAGTAGAAGTGTATTATCATTTTGAATGCCTGACAAACAATAGTAGAACTGTGCTAGTAGACTGTTTTATTTGTTCTGAGCATTTCTTTCACTAATAGGCAAAACCAACTTTTGTTTTTGAGTCTAGATAGATGCAGATCTTTTTCTACTATCACTGCCATGTGTGAGATTTGTCTGAATTTTGGTTTGACCCAGTAGCATAGTATCCCAAAAAGAGGAGTAACATCCTTTACAAATTAAACCCAAACATTTGAATGGTGTCTGGCCTCAGTCTTAGTTTCTTGATATTGATTAGCACATGTAACTTGTATGTCTTCATTGTGGTAGTCCAAACTCCAAATACGGATCCTTGAGGTCTAGGTTGCTCATGGAAGATCAAATTACCTCTTATTATTGTTGCCACTTTCCTTCACATAACAGGAGGTGATGCAAAGTACTCCCTCCGTCCCAAAATTCTTGTCTTGAATTCGTCTACATACGGATGTATCTATTCACTAAAATGTGAATAGATACATCCGTATGTAGACGAATTCAAGACAAGAATTTTGGGACGGAGGGAGTACTAGATAACTAATAGTCTAATGGTGTTACCCTTTTTCATTGGCAGGTAATGTAGGCCATCTTATCATACTCGTGAGAACTTCCATGCTGCTTCATTTATCAAAACCTTAAATCTTTCCATGTTTCAGCAATCGTTGACAATAGGGTTGCAGGGAGGGATTACAGATACGATGATGCAGTTCAAGTTAGTCTTTGTACCTTTAACATCATGATTTATTTTTGCAAATTTGTATCACCTCCTTTCCTTGAATTTGAGAATTGCTGGCATGCTCTTCTTGCTCTGTAGCCTTCTGTAGCAGGCAGTTATGATTTTTTTTTCATGGAAGTAGGTCGACATTCAGAGAGATAGCGCAAATTCGCAATCTGATAGAACGACATGGTCCTGTAGATTACGTTCTTACTGTTTAATACTGCAATATCCCTATGGATTTAACCATTCCTATTGGATTGTTTTGTTAACATCTACCTCTTGCTAGATCTTGGTCTCTGTTTGGCCGAGCTCAGGCTTCAAAATTTGAGCTCTGAAAAGCTAGCTATGGAACAATCTAGTTTTACTGTTTTGGTAGAAGTAAGGAGACGTGCAGCTGGCCAGAGGTTGCTTGTTCTAGCTTATAAATAATGCACATTAAGCTTTTCTGGCTCTGGCTTAAGCATTGGTGGAACTTGGAGAGTTGTACTCACCGGCTCCAGCTTGTTCCCAGAAGCTAGAAGCCAGGAGCTGCAGCCTGGCATATAGTCACATAATTGTATAAAATAATATTTTCTTGGGGCACCTTACACATAGAATTGTAATTCTGATATTTTATTCCCCAATGTAATTTTGATTTTGAAGCCAGGATCATTAACTGTGAACTAAAAGCAATCTGTATGCGACTGGAGTAATATTGATTACAAATTCATCACAAGCCTGCTTCCTTGTATGGGTTTAGGACTTGACGGCACGTGTGTTGGTCACCACATTTATTTGTTTACATAAATTAGCCTAATTATTCTAGTAATGTCCTTTATAGGCATGATTCTTAGATATCTTATTGGAAATATCATTATGTAATGATTTAAGATTTACTTTGTGTTGAATAAATCTCCCAATCTTCGGAGCACCAGAAATATTGTTGGAATATTTACAGTTTGTCAAACATGCCATCTTGCTGTTCCTTAATTATTCCTTGTTTTTTAATGCAGCTAAGGCAGTTATGCAAGATATCAGGAGTAAAGGTCTCATTTGACACAGAAAATGCACGCGATTCTTTCTATAGGGCAACAACAGGCTTTGTTCTGGACGATTGCAGCAGGTGTGTTCTGTTGCAGGACAACATTTTTTGTGTATTTCACGTCACATTCAGCTCTTCATGGCAACTATCTACTGTAAAAAACTGTTGTAATTATTTTAATTTTATTGCTTATTTGATACGCATGTTCCTGATATTTTATTCTTACTAAAGAACAGCAGAAGACATGGGGACAGCACAAATCAATGGAGAGAATCCAAGAGATTTTCTTGCTGGTCTTTCTATGAATATTGGGTTGGACAAGTTCCGTGCTGCCACACTTGTTTGTGCATCAGTTGCTGCTCGCACTCGTGCGTGTTTCTTGCAATGCTGGGTATGTATATTTTTAGGATTTTAGACTTGTTTATGATCTTGCATATGTATCGATCATGTTGATTCTATATGTCATTGTCCGCAGGCTCTAGAGATTCAGGGAAAACGAGCGGAGGCATTAGATGAGCTTGTAAAGATCTGTAGAATTCATCGTGTATTCCCCCCAGAAGAAAATTCTGTATGTATTTTGTTTTTGAGCTTGGCAATTTCTTTCTCAGTGTTACTGTTTTCTTTTGTGATCCATTTTCATCCTTTAGTTTCTCAAGAGTTGCAAACTTGTGATTCCCTTGTCCAACAGTGTGTTGTGCAAGTGCATACGGCCATATGTTGTCCTATATGATTTATTTACGTTTTCACAGCGTGTGAATCCAAGGGAGACAACTGTATAAAACTCTTAGACCAAGTTAAACTTTTGAGCTGAGGGAAGAAAGATGAGTTGGGTTGCTATGGTTTTCCATGGTTTATCCCACTTGGGGGCTGGCTGTAGTGTGAATACTAGGTGATTGCATGTCTGTAGCAACGAAGACTAGGTTTCATGTACTAGTTACATAATACTGTGGCATGCTGCTATTTCCATCGGTAATATTTGGCTTAGACTACCTGAGTTGTCTCACTATATGGCTATGCATGCAAATAACTTAAACTTAAAAAACCTAGGGGATATTCTTTGGGCATTGTTCAATGTTATTGCGTATATATCCTCCTATTGGTGAGAAAAAACATGATCTTGCAAGCTCTTTTTTTTTGTCTCTTGCAGGCAGAAATGGAAATGGTCGCTGGTGGACTTAAAAAGAATTTGGAAGTTGCAGAGAGGGTTCACCTTCTCTCTCTATACAGGAGCGCATGTACTACTGGTGTCAAAACCGCTGCAGAAGCTCTTGGCCTGGTAAGTAGTTGCCAATGACCTGTGATCTACTCCCTCCGTGCCACAATATAGGACGGTTTTACAAGTTAACAGAGCTTGCAAAAGCATATTATATTGTGGGACGGAGGGAGTACTTTGCAACATTAAAATGTGTATGTTGTGTTGTTGTTCGTGGAAATTGCACACCTAAATGCTAAGTCGGTTTATCTTAGTCTGTTTTAAGGAAACCAGAGTTCCCAGGATGTGCGAGATTATTCCAATGAAAATGACATCCTAGAAATGTGAGCACAGAACCCAGTTTTCCTTCACAACAATATAAGAGACATGCTCCTCAATTTTAACTTAGTATGGTATACTTCTAGGATTCGTGTATGGACCTGTGTATGTATGTGAACAAGGTCTCCGCATCAAACATCTTTAGATGATTTTTTTGGAAACTAACATCTTTAGATGAATTGAACCAGAACAAAATTACTGGATATGATTCTGAAGGCTTTGGCTTTCTGGAAGCACTTAACCTTTTCCACTTCTTTTTTAGGAAAACGCAAAACATTTTGCGTTTCATTGCATTGAACAGGAAGAGAACAACAGTACAGGTACAACCTCCCAGGAGGAGGGACACACACATACACACCACTGTCCTCACCAAACGAGCAGGTGAGGTGCCACCAACTACAGACCGCAACGACGAAAGGTCTTGCCTTGTCCAGCCTCCTATCATGAATGCCGAGGTAGCTAGACTTAGGGCCTCAAGACCGCGTCACAGCCATTGCCAGGCGCCTCCGAAGAAGACCACATCTCTAGTGCTGTCCGGGCCAACGTACCTGCCACCCGTGTGTGCCTAGGAGCCGGCAGGTGGATGGCAGGACCCAGCCAGAACTAGTGAAGCAATCTTCTTGGACATGCCGGCGCCGGCGTACATAGCGCCCCGGACGCCCATGCTCTCTATGCTGCAGCATCGCATTGCCAGCAGGCCTCGCCGGAAACACGGGGGAGGCCACCATCTCCAGCTGCCGCATAACCTTTTCCACTTTTGAGTCATCCTAAAAGTAAATAGTAAAAGATGAGCACATTTACACTAAAGAAAGGACTTACATTTTCTTCCAAACCCTGGCCGCCACCCAAGGTCTCGTTGGTCATCCTCTCTCTCTCGTACGGCAGCCTCGTTAGCGGCCAGAGGAGTGGTGACCCGTCCCTTCCGTTTTTCTTGGTTCTAGTAGGTCCATGTTCCCCTTAAGTTTTGGTTCCCTCGTGGCATCTGCGAGGAGGTGATGGCGCTGGCGCATTGGAATAAGGTTTCTCCAGTGTCCCTCTACCAGTCTACCTCGACGACGTCCGATCCGGCGTCAGCAAAAGGTCTGTGAGGGTATGGTGAGGGCGTTTCTTACTGCTGGTTCAGTGAAAAATATCAGCTCCAGCTGGCGGTGTAAAGTCAAAGGAAGAAGACGACCTATATGGTTTTTGATGTAGTTTTAACTTTTTCTGGTCATTTTGTCTTCTTGTTTTTCCATTGTAGTACTAAGTACTGTTTGCCTTGATACTTATCAGATATAAGATGCCCTTTGGGTGTCTTAACTAAAAAAGAAAGTGTAGGAGGAAATTTTCTATGGAAATTTTCGATGGTTGATAGGAATGGCAACCTTGTTAAACTTTAGCCAGAATGGCATTCTTAGATTGAGATACTTCGGTTTTCTAATGGTATTATCTTCGTGCCTTGCAGAGCTCACTGGATCAATGAGAACACGTGCAGTAGAAGGGTCCATCATTTTTGTAGTTCCAGCTTGGCATTGTCATGCCTCAGTAACGGCTGAGATATTCACAATTGAAAGCCTTTGGCATCCTCGGTTTTCTGAAGTTGCAGAATATGAGCGGTATTTAATTCGAGGAATTAACATGATGCCTAATACGTCATAAATTTTCCTAGCAGCACAAAAGGTCTAAAGCATTCCAAACAAGGCGGTATAAGGCACAGTACATATGAACACCGTACCTTGTGCATAGTTCGGCCAACGCATCCAAAGCAGGTTCTCTTGTAAGACATACATACAGTTTTGCTGGTGTCGGTGAACAATGGCAGCAGTGTAGAGCAGGACAGCGTAGTGGAGGTAGACAGTTCAGGATGCATGGTCCGAAAAACCTTTTTGCCATCCTTTGTGTCTGAAGGCTTGAAGATCACCGCTTTTCTTCTACTCGTTGCATTTCTGAGGAGAGTCGGCTATGGTTTGGATGGCCAAGTACTCCTACTGTTTATGGGTCTGATTGTCTGAGAATGGATGGAGCAAGAGAACTAGTGAAACGATGTGAGAGCTGTTGTGGAGGTAGGCAATGCCGCAACCCGCAAGTGGTCATGTCGTTGTGCTCTCCAAAAATAATAATCTTATTACCATGTTTTTATGATTGAAGTGGAAGGACAAACTCTCATTGCTAGGTTCTCTTGATTGCAAGGGATAAGGATACAGAACAGAAGCATATATCCTTTCTTCCAATCTTATCAATAGTCAAAGGCACTCGAAAACACATTAGACCCTACATATATCTTATCAATAGTCAAAGGCACTCTCAAAAAACGCATTAAATCCTACATATGTATATGGACGGCGGAAGTAAAGTAAATCGCTTATTTGTCCATGAACTAACAAATCCGGTGGATTATGGGACCCACAATTGGTAAGTCGCCTGATATCTTTGTGTAAGTCAATTTTTCGGATCGGCCTCCTTGAGCTATTCCTCCTGCAGTGTCCTGCTCCGCTCGCTGCCCCGTGCCAACCTTGGGCAAGGACATTGTCAATCCACACAAGCTGCATCGTCTCTGACTCCAGCTTGTTCCTGACTCGCCTTAGAGCTCCGCCTCGCCTGCTCTTTCTTCTCCCACGAAATCGACTTACCTTAATTGCAAATTCAGGCAACTTACAAATTGCTGTTGCAGTGATGCATGCAACACACACAAGCTTCACATATCTCAAGCGGAACACACAATATTATAAATCTCTCAACAACTTGAAATTAGATTGCATCTGATCTAGAACTCTAGTACAGGTGTCTGTAATTGCAAAAAATGCCCTCTGATTTATAGCAACATGTTTCTCCAAATTTAGTCTATATGGGCATGTTTGACACTCCTATGTCTTCAAAACAACGTGGACGTGCCTGTAGAGCGACATGGCGCCTTAAATTAGGTGAAACACACGACATTCTTCCGATAGCCATGAACCTCGTTGCATCCAGTGTTGTTAACAAACGGACCAGCCGTATTCGGCATGCATCATGCAATGCAACACATCGTGTCAGATGACAAATTACCGAGAGAAGGGAATGCAATTTTTTTTGTCGATGTATGTAAGCATAACTGGGGTTCAAAGAGATCTGACAATACATTTCTATAATAAACAATCCCGAGGACGAAGAAAATGTCTATACTTTCGGTTAGTGCGAAGTATACTTTATACTCCATGAAGCTGTAGGTAAAAAAGTAGAGTATCATGTCTCTCTGACTGGGTCTCCGTTTGGAACATAAATACACGGTCGCGGACAATGTGCCTGAACTGTCACTATCTGCTTAATGTTACTCAAAATTTGCATCTGCAACGCAATCACTAGCGTAACAGATTGTGTCATTGTGTGAAGGTTACTTGTGCGATTCTTAAGCAAATTAGTGATCATATATAATTGGTCGATGTGGAGATGGGTTGACGGACCGACCGATTGGTGTTTGTGCATGCAATCACACCGTGTAGCAGTTGGGAAAAATGGCGCCCCCGCCGCGTGTTATAACGAGTCAAGAACAAATACTAGATCGTCGTCGTGTGGCTTTAATAGCAGCTTCCACGAACTGATCCACCTAACCGCAGCAAAACTAGTTATTATTTCATTGGCACGCAGCACACATGAATCTGCCCTACTCCGTACATGCATGTAACAAAAGCATACAGTGTTCCTTGTTCATTCTCAGTTGTTTGAATGTTTCTTAAACCCCATCCAACCGGAATCACAGGTTACTTAGCCTAAAACTGGATGCGGTAGTAACTAGAAATGTGCACTTTAGTTTGATAGTCGAACCCAATCCTTTTTTTTTTGAAACAAGAAACTTGATCCTTTTTGGATTCTATGGAGCAAAATGTTACTCCCTCCGTTCAATAATACAAAAATGTTTGGATATTTTAATATAGACTATATATGGACTAACATGGGTGAACAGACACATTAACATGTGTCTGTATACACCTGATTTAGAAAAAGTTAGAACATCTTATATTTTTGAACGGAGGGAGAATATATGAAGTCAGGCGAGGATGAGATAGTATGTACGTTATCGCTCTACGTAAGTTTATAAGTGCGACCAAGGGTTCAGTAAGCTTATCTATCCTGATGACGATGATGAGAACAATTCCTGCAACCAAGAAAATGTCTTTGCTCCGGGTTGTAAATTCTGAGGAAGGTACGAGTGTGTATGCACGCCAATCTAATATGATCTTTAG